AAGTTAGATAGATGACTGGCTCTGCAGTCCCTCCTGGCCTGTGACTTAGAGCTTTCTGCGCGCCCTTCCAGATGCCAAACTCTGCATTTACCGGTCGTTCGGCTGGCGAGCCAGGGACGCCAAACGCTGCATTTACCATTCGTTCGGTTGGCGAGCAAAAGCTGCATTTGCCGGTCGTTCGTCGGCTGGCGAGCCGAGGACACCAAAGGTTGTTTCTTTACAGTTTCCTTTTCTCTTTTCCCTTGGCCGTACGCATGGCGACGTGCTACGACCTTCCTGCTTTCCGTATGAGCAGCGAGTTGTATCATCCAGAGTGCGAGCATGGCCAGGGCAAATAGTTTTCACACGGGCACTGTTACGTATCCCGAACGCCGCCACTGCCACGAACAGGAACACGACAGCATGGTTTTTCATCTGTGCACCAGACGTAGGGAGGTTTGAGGCAAGGAGGAAGATCCGGGGGTCAGCCCCTTCCGTCTCCTCCTCCTCATCCTCCTCCTTCTCCTGTCCCTCGTCGCCTTCCTAACAGTAGTCGCAGTAGTAGCAGCAATAGTAGTAGTAGTAGTAGTAGTAGTAGTAGTAGTAGTAGTAGTAGTAGTAGTAGTAGTAGTAGTAGTAGTAGTAGTAGTAGTAGTAGTAGTAGTAGTAGTAGTAGTAGTAGTAGTCAGTAGTAGTAGCAGTAGCAGTAGTAGTAGTAGTAGTAGTAGTAGTAGTAGTAGTGTAGCAGTAGTAGTAGTAGTAGTAGTAGTAGTAGTAGTAGTTAGTGGTGGTGGTAGAGTAGTAGTAGTAGTAGTAGTAGTAGTAGAGGTAGTAGTAGTAGTTCGTAGGAGTAGTAGTAGTTAGTAGAGTAGTAGTAGCAGCAGTAGTATTAGATAGTAGTAGTAGTAGCAGTAGTAGTAGTAGTAGTCGTCGTCGGGGTCGTTGGTAGTGTTAGTAGTCAGTAGTAGTAGTAGTAGTAGTAGTAGTAGTAGTAGTAGTAGTAGTAGTAGTAGTAGTAGTAGTAGTAGTAGCAGTAACAAGAATGATAATACAAGTAGTTATCGTCGTAGCAGTTGTAGTAGGTAGGCAGGTAGGTAGGTAGGTAGGTAGATAGGTCGGTCGGTAGGTAAGTAGGTAGGTAGGTAGCTAGCTAGCTAGCTAGCTAGCTAGCTAGGTAGGTAGGTCGGTCGGTCGGTAGGTAGGTAGGTAGGTAGCAGCAGTAGTAGTAGTAGTAGTAGTAGTAGTAGTAGTGGTAGTAGAATAAAAGTAGTGTAGTTAGTAGATGTAGTAGTGTCGGTGCGTGTTAGGTAGTAGTCGCCGTCCCAGTAGTAGTAGTTAGTAGTAGTATTGTAGTTTTTTTTTTTTTTATGAGATAGTTTTATGTTAGTTTATTTATTAGATGTTTGTAGTAGTTAGTGTGTAGTGTAGTTTAGTTGTAGTAGTTGCAGTGGTGGCCGCAGTTGAGTAGTTGCAAGTACTAGTAGTAGGTATTAGTTTAGTTGTAGTAGTAGTAGCAGTAGTTAGTAGTAGAAGTGTTAGTCGTCTGTAGAGTATTAGTAGTAGTAGTTGTAGTAGTCGTCGTAGCGTGTGGTGGTAGCAGTAAGTGGTGGTGTAGTGTAGTAATTGTGTTTGTGCAAGTTGTAGTAGTAGTTGTTGTAGTAGTAGTAGTAGTAGTAGTAGTAGTAGTAGTAATAGTAGTCACAGTAGTAGCAGTAGGGTTGTAGGTAGTAAGTAGTTGTAGGATTTAGTAGTGTAGTAGTAGTTAGTTAGTATGTAGTGTAAGTAGTAGTAGTGGAAGTCATAATTGTGGTGTTGTTAATAGGCGTCGTATCGTAGTAGTAGTAGTAGTAGTTGTTAGTAGTAGTCGTCAGTCGTAGTTAGTAGTGTTAAGTCATAGTAGTAGTGAAAGTTGTTGTTAGTAGTAATAGGTAGTAGTAGTAGTAGTGTAGTAGTTTAGTAATAGCAGTAGTAGTAGTAGGAGTAGTAGTAGTCGTAGTAGTGTAGTAGTTGTGTAGTAGTTAGTAGTAGTAGTAGTGAGTACGTAATAGTTCCTAGTAGTTAGTAGTAGTAGTTGTCGTAGTAGATAGTAGTAGTAGTAGTGTAGTCAGTTAGTAATAGTAGTCGTAGTAGTTATTATTATAGTTGTTAGTTGTTAGTAGTAGTAGTGTAGTAGTAGTAGTGTAGTTTGTAGTAGTGGTAGTCGTAGTCGTAGTCGTAGTCGTAGTCGTAGTGGTAGTAGTAGTAGTAGTAGTAGTAGTAGTAGTAGTAGTAGTAGTGGTAGTAGTAGTAGTAGTAGTAGGAGTAGTGGTAGTAGTAGTAGTAGTAGTAGTAATCGTAGTACTAGAAGAAATAGTAGTCATAGACGTAGTAGTAGTAGTAATAGTAGTAGTAGTAGTAGTAGTAGTAGTACTAGTAGTAGCAGTACTGGTGGTGGTCGTAGTAGTAATACTAGTCGCAGTCGCAGTAATAGTAGTAGTAATGGTCGTAGTAGTAGTAGTAGTAGTAGTAGTAGTAGTAGTAGCAGTAGGAGTAGGAGTAGGAGTAGTAGTAGTGCTAGTAGTAGTAGTAGTAGTAGTAGTAGTAGTAGTAGTAGTGGTAGTAGTAGCAGTAAGAGTACGTAGTAGTAGTAGTAGTAGTAGTAAGTATTAGTAGTAGTAAGTAAGTAGTAGTAGGTATGTAGTAGTAGTAGTAGTAGTAGTAACCTTAGTAGTAGTAGTCGTAATAGTAGTGCGAATAAGTGTAGTAGCAAGTAGCAGACCAACTTCATCAAGTAGTCGTAGGATTAGTAGTAGTAGTAGTAGTAGTAGTAGTAAGTAGTAGTAGTCGTAGTAGGTAGTAGTAATATAGTAGTATAGTAGTTAGTTGTAGTAGTATAGTAGTAGTAGTAAGTAACATGTAGTAGGAGTCGTAGTAGTAGTAGTCGTCGTATTATCCACTGGTATCTTTTATATATTTTATTATTAGTGCTAGTAGTCGTAAGTAGTAGTAGTAAGTAGTAGTTAGTATCTAGTGTAAGTGTAAGTGATATTAGTAGTAGTAAATAATAGTAGTACTACTTCTACTACTACTACAGCTACTACTACTTTTTGCTACTACTACTACTAATACGAACTTACTACTACTACGACTACTAGGAGTAGTTAGTTAGTATAGTATTCAGTAATCGTAGTAGTTGATGTTTAGTGGTAGTAGTAGTAGTAGTAGTAGTAGTAATAGTAGTAGTAGGTAGTAGTAGTAGTCGTAAGTCGCAGTAGTAGTAGTAGTAGTAGTAGTAGTAGTAGTAGTAGTAGTAGTAGTAGTAGTAGTAGTAGTAGTAGTAGTAGTAGTAGTAGTAGTAGTAGTAGTAGTAGTAGTACGGTAAGGGCATTGGACAAGGAACCCTTGGATAAGGAATCCAGGGTCTGGAAGTATTCCAATCGCGGATCGGCCATGGATATCACCGCCGCCCTAATCTCATAAGGAATCCTCAAGGATCTGCAGCCGCTCAGGCACATTCCTTAACGAACGCCCCCACCGTAGTAGGAAGAGGAGGAGGAGGAGGAGGAGGAGGAGGAGGAGGAGGAGGAGGAGGAGGAGGATTCTAAGACGATGCTCTTCCTATCGGAGTGGAAGGTCCCCAGGTGGCTCGGCTTTCAAGAGCAACCACCATTAAACGAGTTCTAAACCATTGCGCGCATCGTTCGGCGCCCTACCCGCGGGCCTTCAGCTGAGACGTAGGGATACAGATCCAATGGCGGACGCTGGCGATTGGCAAATGGACAGTGACGAAGGCTCGAGTGGAGACAGATGGCCCGGGTGCGGGCGCAGGGGTGGATGGGGAGACAAGATGAAAGAGAAGGCCGGAAGGAAGCACAGAGATGGAGGAAGAGCCAAGCAGGGACAGGAGGAAAGAGGAGTGCAGCTAGGATGGCAGGGATGCGGGCGCAGGGGTGGAAGGAAAAGACAAGATGCGCGAGGATGGCCAGAGGGATGTACAGAGGTGGGTCAAGAGCCAGACAGGACAGGAGGATAGCGGATTGTAGATAGGGATCGAGCAAAGAGCGCAGAAAAGCGTGGGTCAGGGAGCGTAACATTAGCATCATGGGAGAGGTGCCTTTGCGTGATCACACACACTTTAACGCTGGGTCCCAAACAACGTTTGGGCATGTTCCGGAAACGCTGTGCCGGAACGTGGATCCCGACAGCTTTTGCGCAGAGAAGGAGGAGGAGGAGGAGGAGGAGGAGGAGGAGGAGGAGGAGGCGGAGGAGGAGGAGGAGGAGGAGGCAGAGGAGGAGGAGGAGGAGGAGGAGGAGGAGGAGGAGGAGGGACGAGGAGGACGAGGAGGACGAGGAGGAGGAGGAGGAGGATTAGGAGTGAGCACCCACGGGGGTGAGACGCTGGAGAGCCTAGACATGATGCACCAGATGCTGGTCGGATGGGGGGCGGACCGCGGCGCGGGCACCTGTTTTGGCTTGCGTGGCACTCAGGTTTGTAAGGCGCAACGCTGCCACCCCGCTGGGTTGGCTCGCCTTTGCGCCTTGCGATGGGGAGGGTCCCCCTCGGCTAACCACCGAGGCCCCTCCCCTACCTGTAGGGGCTTCGGTGTGCATTAGGGCCCCCCCCCCCCGTGAAGGGGGTACGGGGCCGACCAGCCCTCCTTCTTCTTCCCCGCCCGCTTTCCCCGACCACAGGCCGCAAGGCGGGGGGTGCTTTGGCTGCAGCCCCAGCCTTGGGGCACCCCGCCGTCCGAGGACACCTTTGTTTTTCTTGTGGGCCCCAAACTAAACGTGAACCTCGGGCCCCAAACGTGGCGCCCCCCCCCCCCCATTTCGCTCTGTGAGTGTTGTGGGGTATGATGGCCTAGGCAAAGAGGAGGTGGAGGAGGAGGAGGAGGAGGACAAGGAGAAGGAGGATAAGGACTTGATCACTCTCGTGCCTTCTGCTTTGACCCACGCCCGTGCCCAGCACCCTCTGCGGTCGAAACCTCGTCGGACAGCCTCTGAACGGGGGGCGCTCCTTCGGGCCGTTGGCTCCCGCCCAGGTCATTCCCTCGGGCATCGAGTCGGTGGCCGCGGGCGGCTGCCACACCGTGGCGCTGAGTCGCCCTGGGGCCAAAGGAGGGGGAAGAGGGAGGAGGAGAACGAGGAGGAGGAGGAGGAGGAGGCGGAGAAGGCGGAGGAGGAGGAAGAAGAAGAGGAGAAGGAGGAGGAGGAGGAAGGGGGTGAGGAGGAGGAGGGCGCGGAAGAGGAGGAGGAGGAAGAGGAGGAAGAGGAGGCGGAGGAGGAGGAGGAGTAGGAGGAGGAGGAGGAGGAGGAAAAGGAGGAGGAGGAAAAGGAGGAGGAGGACGAAGTCCTAGATGGCCTCAAGGGTCCAGAGGGCTCTGGTGGTCTCCAGGAGGGGCTAGCGGACCCATCGCAGCCCCAGAGGGGGGGAAGTCGGAGGGGGAAAGGGACAGTTGAGGGAGGGAGGGTGGGGGGAGGGGGAGCATGAGGACGAGAGGGACGGTGAGTTAGAGGAGGAGGAGGTGGAGGAGGAGGAGGAGGACCAGAGAAAACCCAAACTTCGCCAACGATGCTTCAACACAAGCTCTCTTCCCCAGGCCCCTCCTCATATGACCTAACAGTGTTTACTTTGAGCTATGGAGAGCGCCCCCTTGAAGGACGAGCTGCCCATGTGCCAGCCATTCCAGCGCCCCCCTGGTTTCGAAAAAGAGCCTTTCTTCGGCCCTTGTAGCCACACAGAAATCAAGACGTACAAGACTCGTCAGTAACAAGCAGACGGTTCTTATGTTCGATCTTTGCGTGGTCGGCGCTATTTCAATGCTGGCATTCGGTATTCGACCCAGACGCAGGGGGTCCGAAATCCGTCATCCAGCGTGGGCCCCAAACAGTGTGGGGTGGTAGTCATCGATGCTACGGCGATATACATTTAGCACAACGACCCAGCGGCGTCGGACATCGTTTGTTCGTGTCAATTTGTGACGCCGTTTCTGGATGACTCTGGGTAAGTGTACACGCGTGGGATATTATTCTTGGCTTCTCTGGCAGATGGGCTGGATCTGAGTATATACATTCGAAACCGATAGTGAGGATGGGCGACTTCCCGAGTGTACCCTTTGCATCGGCCCCTTCGGTCATCTCCGGTCCATCTTGAACCACTTGCAATGGCCAGCCCCGCTCGAAGAGCTTCGGCATCGGCACCCAAGGCCTTTGCATCTTTACCGCGCATCCTTACTGTCAATCTTGACTGGAAGGGGTGGTGACTAAGTAAGTCGTACTACAGCAGAACAAGATATCGCAGTGCAACTAGTACTAGCACAAGTGTGGCGAAACTACTTTGCATTGCATTTGCAATCTGGGCTCTCGCACCTGGTTGTGCTGGGGTGGTGGTGGAATTCCGCGCGCGGGCATCCCCGTGGTTGAGAAGTCATCAACCTGATTGTCGCGTTTTGACGATCCTGAATCGTGCCAGAACTCCATTCCTGCGACTTCCACACCGCGAACCAACGTAACTGTTGCACCCTCATAATCCTGAGTCTTTCCAAGGCATCATTTCTGGTACGTTGACCCTGGGAACCCGCGAAACTCTTGCAACTTTCAAGAAGCAGCGTGCGCGTCGCTAAGGCGAGAGCTACATTTTGAAAACGACTACGTTCAATCCGTGAAGCGCCTGCAATTTTTGAGAACGAATGTGCGCGGCGCTCAGGCGAGAGCCACATTTCGAAAACCACCCGTCCTCCATTAGCGAAAGCGCTCGCAATCTTTAAGCTGCAGGGTCATAAGTGGCGAGGACGTCTCAGGCGAAACGCACAGCCCGCCCTTTCGACCGGCCTCGGGATGCGACAGGGAGAAATGATTTAGAAGGAAAAAGAATGTAGCAACAGGAGGGCTAGATTTTTCCACGGACGTGCTGCACTTCTGTTCAGTGCCGGATGAGGGGTACGACGACGACGTGGCGGAGGGAGGAGAAGGTCGAGGAGGAGGAAGAACGCGGCCATGTGCGTGGGAATCCGCGGCCCGGTCACTTCGGGACCTCCTGCAGGCTACGCATTTCATTATCCGCGGCCGTCTTGGTCGAAACGTGTTGCGCGGTCTTGGAGGCTTAGCTCTATGTTCGTTCGATCTCAGTGCATGCGTGTGCCCCGGGAGATTCACCCGAGCTTGCCGCAGCAACTAGAGGACAGCGCACCTTAGATGTGGCCCAGGCTTGTGCCCGACATGGAATGTGGAAATTCTGCGCGCGGCGGGCGCGCAAAATCGACTGCGCCGCACCCTTGCGAAGGCGCGACGGGCAGGCTAACTGGGCAGCGATATTTTTGGCCAGGTCGGGTGCACCCAGCGCGACAAACAATGTTTTCCTAACTTTTATGTTGCGCAGATATTCTCTCTGTTGCCGGACCGCGCATAGCGCGACGTGCGGCCGAACGGCGCAGCCCCCGCAGCAGCGGAGATCAGCGCTGGTGGCCGCGCCCAATGCGCGAGCCTCAGGGTTCTTGACAGCTGCCCAAGGCGCGCCGAAATACGAACGTCGCGCGGCGGCGCGGGCAGCGTCGAGGACGGTTCTGCCCGCGGCAATTCGCGGCCGCGGTGAGTGGCCTTTGCCGCGTTGAAGTTGCGAGCCGTCGCGGGTGAGTTTGGCGACGGGAACCAGACGCTTGGTAATTCCAGCGCGAGCGAGGCCCGAGCTCGTTGACAGTCTTGCCGGCTCCGCATTCCCATGTCTGCCTGCTGCTGGCAGGCGCGAGCGCGTTCGCGCAGCTTGGAGGCGGCGCCTCGCCCCCTGCGGCGACGGGCGCAAGCGCGCCCGCTTTGTCCTGCCAGTCCGAAAGGAGGATTGCAGACGCGGGCGATCGGGGTGGATGTCCATATCCAGATGTCACGCGCGCAGTCAGCGCGTCGGCGATCGTCGCCGACGGCGCCCGTGGCGAAATAGTCGCAGTTAGCGAGAGCGCGCTCGGCGAGGCGCCGCTGCGCCGCGCCCGCGTCGCGCCCGATGGCGCCGCCCCTGGCCGCGCCGAATGTTCTAGTTGTTTCCGCCACCTTGCGGGTTTGGGCGCCTGCGTCGCGTCGCCGATCCGTCGTTCCCCTGCCCGGCGAGCAACGCGGCGCGGCGCGCGAGCGCGCCGTGGAGGAGGGCAAGGGCGCCCGCGACGCGGCCGTTCCAGACGCGGCGATGGCGCTGGGTTGCCCGCGCTACAGCGCAGATCGCGGCGGCGCGTCTGGCCCCGCGTTTTTTTGCTTTCTGCGGGGTTGCGGCGCGGACGTTGGGGCCTGGATTCCCGGGGCGCTGCTAGGCGCAGGCGCTCGGTGCGCCGCGTGGCCTCCGCCTCGCACTTCTCGGCGCTGCCGCAGTTCCGCCGAAGGCCTCGCCGCGCGCGGTTCCGACGCGCGGCCCGCCGCGTCGATCTTCGCCGCGCGGAGCACCGCGCGGGGCGCCGCCGCTTCAAGAATTGGCGGCGGAAGGGCGCGGGGGGAAAAATGTGCATTCCGCCGACTGTCTGTCTGACAGCGAGGACAGGCCATGGACGGGCGGGGCGCGGGGGTCGCTTCGACTGCCGCCGCTGCGACGCGCGGGGCCGAGGGGGGGCCGGCTCGAGCGACATTGGCGGGTGGATATTGCTTGCTCGATTGCCTGCGCGTCGGGCCCGTTCGCCCCGTCTCCATGGCGCGCCCGCGCGTTCGTTCGTTCGCCGCCGCGCCCTGCAGGGTAGCGCGCGCCTGCGCGCTTGTTCGACTCTCCGCGCGATCTCCGCGCTGATCTCTCGCCTGCCTGATTCGACGCTGGTCTGGCCCCCGTCGCCCGACCGCTCGGCCCGCGGCGATTGGCGACGCGTCGCGGGCCAGCGGGGCGCGATCAGGCGCTCGCCCTTCTCGCTGCTCTTCCCGCGGAAACGTGGCGAAGCGCAGCGACGAGTCGGCTCGCGTTCAGGCGCGAGCGGTGCTGGCGCGGCCCCTTTATGCGTCGCGGGCGCTCTCCGAGCGAGGCGATCCGCCGACGTCTGCGCGACTGGCGAGGCGCGCGCCGCGACGCGCGCTGTCAGCGCAGCGCTGCTGGGCGCGCTCGGGCCGACAGGTCGCTGAGCGCGGCGCGCGCGCGCGTCTGCGGCGGGCCGGGGCGCGCCGCCTGCCCGGCGGCTCGCCGCGATGGCGTTCGACGCGCCGACCCCCGCCCCCCTGCTAGCGGGCGGCCGGCGCAGGCCAGCGTGGGCCTTCGTTGATCCCGTCGTCGCCGACGCGCGATCGACTGGCAGCTGTTCGGCCGCAGGTCGCGCGCCGCGCGCCGACGCGCGTCGCGATCGCGGCCCCCTTCCCTCCGCGCGGCCGCGCTGGCGGCGAGGCCCCCGCGCGTAGATGAAGACGCGGCGAGCCGCCCGCGCGGGCACTGGCCCCGCCGGCGAGAATCCCGCGGCGGGGCAACGCGATCGAGATAAAATCCAGCTGGGACTTCGACGGCCGCCTCCAGGCGGCGGCTCGGCTGCGGACGGTCGCCGCGCGCCCGATCAGGCGGCCGCCGCGCCGGCGCCGCGAGCGCGCACCGTCGCCGCCGAGCTCGCCGCGCGATCGGTGGCGCCAGGGCGTCTGCGCGACAGGCGAGTCCATCGTAATTGGCACGGACGTGCGCGCGCTGGACGCGCGCTAAGATGCGCGATGGTCGCTGGTTCAACTACGAGCTGGACCTCGTCGTCATCGCATCGTTTTCGGCTAAGCTGAACGCCGGCTTCGACCGCGACCTCGCGGGGCCGCGCGGGGGCGCAACCGCGGCGGCGCGTCTGTTCGCGCGGCCGGGTGGCGGCCGAAGACGCCAGCGGCGCTGCCCTGGGCAGCGGGCGTGATCAACGGGGCGTCGGCGCGCGGCCAGGCGCGCGCAAGCGGGCGAGCAACGGCGAACCCAATATCGCATCAATCGGCAATCAGTCAGCACCAAACCCGGGAGCAGCAAGCGCGGCCCCGCAGCGGCCGCCGCAGGGGCAGCGGCGGCGCCGACCGCGCCGACAATGCTACCGCGGCAGCAGCTCAGAAGCCGATCTGGCAGCATCCCGCGCGCGAGGCGCCAGCTGAACACCGGGCGCCGGGGCGGGGACGACCGCGAGACGATGAACCCA